CTTGGTACACGCCCAAAAAGGCACACGCGTGGGCCCCCTCTCCCCCCCCCCCCACACACCCACCAGCTGGTCTATGCGTATGGCCATGGCTGCTGTGGCTTCCATGTAGTACTCCTGGGTGAGGAAGAGAGCAGAAAGTGCGTAGGCAGAGAGGGGGGTGAAGGTGAGGGGTGCAGAGGGAAGGCGGGCAGACTGCAGGACCGTGAAGGGTGGCCGACAGTGAGGATCGTGGAGATAGGATGGTGCTGATTTGAATTGAATTGATTGAGCCAGATGTCGAAAGCAGGTGATGGCAGGGACTGGCAGGTGCTCCGATTTTGATTTCTGTGCCGAGCGGCAGTTTGCCGGAGGATGGATCCCAGGCATCATGATCAGATACGCCTGGCAGGGGACGCGTAAGGGCAGGGCGCCGGCCCAGGGACCAGGCGCCCCGCCTGCGGCGCCTTTGGGCCGCCCATGCCTGCCTGTCCGCTGCCTGCGTGTGAATTTCTCCACAATGCAGAGAGACACGCCCCACCAGGGCACTAGGGCAACCAATCCTGATGGTTCCAAACCATCCCCCACAAGGACAGCCAATCAGCAACAGCCCCCCACCTCAAGAGCCATGTAGTGTGACACCACCTCCCTGACTGCCACATTGAAGGGACCACCCCTGGAGGTTGCGCGAGGCAGGAAGTGCAGGCGTCGCGTGTGGGTGTGCGTGTAAGCATTTGGTTGGGTGGCGTTTGTGTGTGCGTGTGTAACCATCACATGCGTTTTTGTGCAGTTGTTTTAGGGTGGATTGTGATCAAGGGTGCCCCCCAACAATCCGCCGACCACCCACAAGGTGTGCCAGCCAGCAGCAGACAACGCAGTACTCAGGCAGGGGCTGGACCCGCACTCGCGCCTGCCTCTCAAGCTTGCCTGTACTTAGCCTCTGCCGCCTGCATCGCCGCCGCCGTCTGCTGCTGTGCCTCCGCCGCCGCTGCAGCCGCCGCCGCCGCCACCGCCGTCGGGGTCCCCCCTGCAGCGTCGCCCCTTCCCCCGACGCTCCCTCGCCGCTCGACGGCCCCCCCGCCCGCCTCGCCGCCGGCCTGCTGCTGCTGCTGCTCCCGCTCCCTCTGCTCCTGCTCCTTCTGCTGCTGCTCCTTCTGATGCTGCTGCTGCGCGAAGTGCTCAGTGAGCGCAGCCCTGACCTTTGAGAGCATGAAGGTGTTATACTCCTCAGACCGCTGGATCAGGAGAACAATCTCCTGAACCAAAGGCTCCACAGCCCTGCAGCGGTGCGGCGGAGCGGCGGCGGTCCAGGGCTTGGGGGTTCAGTGGGAGGAGGTTTTGAGTCGGGCGATGATCGCGTGGGTGCGGTGCAGGCTGCGTGTGCGCGAGCGGCAGCAGGAATGGCTGGCATTCACAGTGGGATGGCCCGTGCCCTGACGCTGCTCGCCGCACCCTCCACCAAAACGTATCGAGCGCCCGCCGCCCGCACCTGGGGTCGGGCCCCTCGCCCCTGCCGCCGCCAGCGCCCGATTGGTGCCGCGCCGCGTCGGCCGCCACCTGCGGGCACGGGTGCACGTGTGCCGTGCAGACGGCTTGAGGGCCTCGGTGATTTGAATGAAGGGCCCCTGCGTTGCAACACCTGCGCGGCCGGCACGCGTCCCCAGGCCCCCCACACAAACACCCTGAAGACGTCTCTGCCAGGAAGGGGTGACACACACACACACACACATACACACACACATACACACACATACACGCACGCACGCACGCACACACATCATGAGAGCAGGTCCCACAGGTCGCAGCACGCCGAATGCTGACTGATGCCCAGGAGCCGCGTGGATGCGTGCCGCGTGCACGCCCACCTGCGCGACGCGCCGCGCCTCCATGAAGCGCTGCATCATGCGCAGCCCCTGGGTGTCGCACTCCCCCTGGACGGCCAGCACCACCTCCACCAACGCCTGGGGGCCAAAGGTGGACGACAGCTCCTGCGCGCAAACGCATGGGGTTGCCAGCGGGCGGGGTGGCGTCGTTTCCCGGGGAGCTGTGACATGCATGAGGATTGGAGCCTTGACTTGCAGCGCGGCACAGCGCCGCATCGCGAGCCGCGGCTGCAGCAATTGACCTGGCGCCCACGCTGTGACCACGGGCTGCGCTCCGCGCCGCTCGAATGAGCTGGCGCGGCCGGCCGGATGGGCAGCTTCCGCTAACCTTCTCGTCCTGCTCAGCCGCCATCGCCAGCTCCCGGAACAGCCCCGTCATCGCCGCCACAAAGTCGACACCGGCGGGCCCCTTGGC